GTAATTGGTCTATGAAGACATCTGGGATCTCACTGCACACTTTCCCCCTCTATTGAGAGAGATAATAATCTGCCCTCCTGTTTTTGCTACCAAAGTGGATAGCTTCATATTTGTATACAGCATCTGCCATTCAGTTTCCTACTCACTAAGCTTATCCAAATCACATTGAAGCATCTGCTTCCTCAACTCACCCTCCCACCCAGCTTTGGGAGCTCTGCAAATTTGAAGATACTACATTTACCGCCTTCATCCAAATCATTAATATACATTGTGAAATCTGGGCACTGATTCCCATAAGTCCTTGCTTGCCATTCAGAAAACGACCTGTTTATTCTGTTTTCATCTGCCAACTAGTTTTCTAACTATCTCAATACAGAACCCCCAGTTCCACGAGCTTTAATTTCACACAATCTCTTATGCAGGACTATCCTGAAAGCCTTCTGAATGCCCAAATAAACCAATCCATTGGCTCCATCAAACTCTATAATCTAGATCTTCAAAGAATTTCAGTAGATATGTCAAGCATGATTGCCCTTTTGCACGTCCAAGCTGACTCTGTCCAATCCTATTTCCAAATGCTCAGCTATGAATTATTTTATAATGAACTCTAGTATTTTTCCCCCACTACCGATGTCAGGCTGACTGGTCGATAATTCCTGGTTAACTGCTGTCTCATAATTCCACAAATTTGCTGTTTTCTTCTTCCATTTGGAATTTTAAATTCCCTTTCCATTCATTTCATTTCTGAAGTAAATTCATGCTGGTTTAATGCTCACATTCTGATTTCTAAATTAGTAACTTCAGATTACAGAAACATTCCTCATATTTTACTTTTACATTACCAATTCTACTTCTCCGAAGTAATATCATAGTTTACATCAGCCACTTTATTTGCTTTTAATCCTATAATTTAAAAGTTACCAGGTTTATATAACCAATGGCTATAAATGCTTAAACAAAAAAAAACTTAAGGAACATTTGCCTTTAAATATGGAAGACAATGGGACACTGCTCCCATATAAACTGCCAGCCAAAATGACTCAATTAAAACACAAAAGGAGCAAAGAGGAGAATTAGGTCATCTCTTTTCTGAAAGCACACAGCAGTGAGGATTTACAGGGGTAATTCTGTTAATATAATTGGGCCTGTGTTATCACGTAACGGTTCAGTGTTATTTTCCCCTTTCTTCACAAGTGGCAGAAATAAAACCCACTATTGCTTAGATTGAAAGGGTGTATAAATTATATCAAGACCTCAGCAAAACATGAACAGATTCTAAACCAACATGTAAAACTGTTCATCAGATCCTTTTATTTTGAAAGATTAGTTGAATAGTTCAGTTTTATACTTGACTAAAGGTCTAAGCACAAATTATGTTTCATGAAAAATACAGAACTGCGTATAGGCCACAATAATTCCCTCCAGTAAATTAGAAGCTCTGAACCTTAATCTATTCCTGGATTGCAAGCATAAACAAATCAAATAATCAATGTTTCAAGAAATTAAAATAAAAACTAATGGCATATTATATAAATAATGAAATTGGACAATGGTATCAGCCTGAATGGAGGGTGAATTTATAGACCTCCAGGAAAAATTAAAAAATTTAAAAACGAGCTCAAAAATGGGAGACCATAAATTAATATTTAAGACTCAGCAATTTTTTATGAATAAACACAAAAGCAAAATGTAATCTAAGAATACAACAAAGGGGAACTTTGCTCTCCAAAAACATAACTTGTTTTTAAGAGGAGGGAGACAAAATGGAAAATGGCATGAGAAAAAAAACAGGAACCTGATGCAAAATATTTGTTCCACCTACCTGTGTTATGGAAGTTTAGCAAAGCCTTAAAATTAGTTAGGTCATTTGGAAACAAAGCTAGTTAGTTGTGTGAAAACTATTTCTACAAATTAAGACTGAATTCTATATAAGCAAGAATTCATTTTTCTTGTAAATAGGAGCTATTAATGTTTAGGAAGTAAAATATCATTTCTGCATTTAAAAAGAGCACACTGGATATAACAAGCTGGATAGCAAAACATGAAGCAAATTTAAATCCCATATTTTTCTGTGACCAGAAAAATATGGAATAAAGTGCACGTTTCTTAAGTGGCTTGTGATTTCTACAAAAATACGTGTCAGCCATCATAATTCTTTGGTATTAGGCTCTGAAAACAGAAATTAAGCTGCAAGAAACATTATAGTGTACAGAAACTAAAAAAGATAATTGGACACTTCACAGGCATCTTAAACTTAACCATGGTTTATGAATATGTAATTTTGTAATGTGCAGAAACAAGAAAACAATTACATTGTCCAATTAATTTGGTTGGTGACAAAGACAGTAACTGATGATGAAGCCAGCAATCCTTCCTCGCTCTGATGACTAATGAAATGTGTGAACCATTTCAACCAAGAGGTTCACACACTCTATTCCCCAATTAGTGCTGAGAGTTAGGTGATCTCAGCCAGTCCAGCAGAAGTGTGAAAGGTATCAGTGAGAGTGGAAATCATGGAGTGCTTTATAGGTATTCTGAAAAAGTCCAATTATTTCTTCCAATTTGAATGATTTGAGAGAGAGAGGAAGTTTAATATGGCCTTTCACTAGCTAACTTTCAAATTCTCTCTTCTGGATATAAGCATTGCAACACATTAGAAACAGACATTTTGAAAATAACACGAAAGTTAACAAAATAACCTGTTATGGGTAACAGATCAAAAGATAGGCATACAATTAAAATTATTTTAATCATTTTAATCCACACCCATTCTCCAACATTATGTCTCCATTCACAAAGATTTGTTGTCTCAGGAAAAGTGGTAATAAGGATACTATAAGCTTAGTGTCACATGACCAAAGCTGTGAATTTTACACATGATTTTTCCTCGTGAATACTATTTATTGAGATTTGCTAGAAGCATGACAGGTCAAGTTAGTTAGGAACAGGATCAGTTTTGATAAAATTTTCCCCATGATCACAAGAAAAGCATTGGCAGAAGGTAACTAACTCCAGCAGGAATCAAAACTTTCAAGACAAGGTAAAGAAAGTTTTATAGAAAAAGGAAATCTTACCTGGTATGGTGGATGTGCTTGGTCCTTGTCCAGTACCAGATGCTGCTGTAGTAAGAGATCCCACAGCAGGAGCCAGGATAAAATCAATGTCACCATCTTTCAATAAACAGAATAGCAAATTATCATCTTTAGATCAAAACAATCCCCTGCCAAAGACACTTTATAACTTTCAGAACTGTGGGGATACCAAAATGTTTCACTAAATAACTGCATTCTGCTCAAAGTACTTATTTTAAAATTTAGTGCAAAGATCTCTTGGCTGCCAAAAATAAACAAACTGGCTTCCGATGTTTCTATCATACTTCAAACTGCACCAAAAATCTGAATGGAGGTATCAGTGATTTCAGATGAAATAATAAAATCCTTGGTCTCTTGTATATTGAAAATTTTTGATGGACATTAATAGAAAGAACTCCTTTCCAAAGCAGGTGCTTTGACTCAATTTAGATATAACAATGTGAAAACAAAGGATCCAGTTTCATTATTTCATTATAGTTAAAAAGTTTTTGGATTTAAATGATTAGACATAAGCCGTGCCTTGCTCTACAATTTAATTCACTCTGAAAAATGTATCATTTTCATTGCTCCCAAAGTAGTCTTTCAGCAAATAATGAAGTCAATTTCCAACCTAGTTTCAGAAAAGCACAATAAACTGACACGTTCATGTATGCTTCACTCTGCATCAAATCAAATTAAACTTGAACAAGTTGCAACTCAATATTACAGGAGCAGCCCAAATACAATATTTCATGTTGTGAATCAATTAAAATCATGCCATTTGTAGGGAGCTGTGCACCAAAAAAAATGTATTAGATTGCTCTCATGGCTTCTTGGTAACAAAGTACACAGCAGCATTGATAGACAATGGAATTAGGGAAACAGAAGCAGTTTTAAAGCATCAAGAATATATTTGCTTGGGTGCTGTGAAAAGCATTATTGAATGTAATTTGACACAGACACAACAAGCTATCAAGACAAGTTGTGAAGTAGCATCATACAGGAAAAGAAAAGGAAAGCGGAGAGTGCATGCAGAGGAGGAGGAGAAAGCAAGCCAGAGAGAGAAAGCATGGGAGCATGAATGGCATTGCCTTAAGTTAGTCAGAACAATACATCTAGAGCACTTTAAAGGCCAAGCTCCCTAGTTTCAGTAGTAATTAGTGGTGATCACAAAACATCACATCAAGCAAATACTGAACAGATTGCACTGTTTGTGCTACAGGAGGAGAACAATTACAGTCATTGCTGTCAACTTTTCTGGTTACAAACATGTGACAAATGGGTGGGCACGGGTGTGACTGGTTGCTACATCAGACTGCAGTTAATCTCATGTATTTTCTGCTTGTCCCAATGAAAAACTCCAACTTTGAAGAAGTCTCATTAGCTTGCCCAATCTCTTGCAGCATCCATACTTGTCAGTGTAAAGTTCAAGATCAATCATTTATAACTGATCATTTCCATTTTGCTAGAACAAACTAGCAAAAATAAAACAAGAGCTTTCCCATCCTAAGCAAACCTTCATTACAGCTTATGAAGGCAAAACTGCAGATTTGCTTTTTTTTTTCCAATTTGGCAAACACCTCCAGGCTTCTCTTTTCTGATGCTGGAGTTCTTCTTTGCTGAGTGACTGAGGCAGCTTAGTCTAAGGCCGAAATCATTCCCAATGAAGAAGCCCAATCCTGCAGCTAAAATACTCATGACAACTTTTCTACTTTCCAAGTAATTAGGTCTGGAAGTTCAAATGTTACCAAGTAACAGTCCCTCTGACTGCACAATCAATCCTTTAAATTATCCTTTTATTCTAGGGAAAGAGAGGAATTAGTTTTCTCTTGCACAGCTATTCGTGTATTTTTGGTCCATTTTGGCAACCTCTGATATACAGTCAGGAATTGAATCAAGTAAAATTAATGCCAGGGCATGGGAATGAGAGCCTCAGTGAAAGGTATTTCTGGATCTTTGCCTGGCTCTTTTATACTATTGAGAAACATTCTCTGAAAGGTAAGCAACTTGCTTCCCAGAGTACAGCACGTGTTACCTTAAAATGTGCCAGCAATTGTCCTGAAATTTTTAACAGTGACTGGAAGATTTCACAAACAAACTCCAGCAAATTGCAGCATTAGCTTTCTAAACTTTTAACAACAATGGTGAGGTTAACTCCAAATGGTGCTACTATCTTGAATGAACACAACATAAAATTCCACTGTTCATTGAGTTAGACTGTCTTCTGAACAACCTCAGTAGTGACATGCTCTGAAGTTAGCCATTATTTCTGCTTCAAACCAACATTAAGAAAAATCAATTTTTGTGCTATAGATAACAAGGTGTAGAGCTGGATGAACAGAGCAGGCCAAGCAGCATCAGAGGAGCAGGAAGGCTGACGTTTCAGGCCTAGACCCTCCATCAGAAAAATCAGAAAATTTCTGTGCTATTTGTGGGATTGCAAATTAGTTGCTGTTTCCTTCACCACAACTCTACAAACTATTCAAAGTGCTTTGAGATGTTCGGATTTCATGAAAGGCACCACATACATCCAAGACTAATTCTTATTCAGATGTTTCTTACTTACTCTAAGTACAAGAACACTGGTTACAATATCAAGTTCAAAATGGGTAGTCACACAAATCTTCTACAACTGTATAACTGAGCACATGAGCTTGTACTGAAAGGGGAAATGGTCATATTCTCTGCTTAGTATGGGCAAATATTTTCTTTTCTCCATGCACAATCTACAGGAATGCTGCCCTTGTCAGAGACAGATATCTGTCTCTGTAATTGTACACATAATAATACCTATGAAATGAAATTTTGTTTTATTGCATCCAAGATAAAATAACTTTCGTGGTGAAATTATTCTTCAAATCCTCATATACTGATGCTAAAACTTAAAGCAGGATAAAGGTTTCAGCAAGTTATTTTCGAGTAACATCAGGAATCATTCTAACCTGGATCAATTGCAGGTGGATCTGGTGCCCAGCTAAGTGGGGCAATAGGAGGAGATACTGGATCCTGATGGTCACTGGATGAAGCACCAGACTCATGACGACCCAAGCCTGCTGCTCGCAGGGAGCGCCTCATCATCTCACGCAATCTTAAACTGGAAGAAAAGTGCAAGACTCATTACTTACTTGGGGGTCAAAAAAACTTTTATCTTCTAGTATGATCCAACAAGTTGGTTACAATTATTGACAAGTGATGTTAGTTTTTTTGGTTTTGTTAAAAATTAAACAAGTTGTATCAAATAGAATTTTAATCAGAGAATATATGCACTGCAATTCCAAGGAAGTTGAAATCACGTTAGTTTCTCTTGCAGCAATGTCCTACGTACCTATTGGTTTATTGACCAGATCATGGCAGTTCAGCTATTTACACACACTCAACATTTTGGAATACAGTTTAAGTACCAGCTTTCTATGAGCTAATACTAAATCATCCAATTTGAAGTGCATCATGAAGTGCAAATAAAAAGTGGAATTTACACTTTTAGAATCAATCAACAGCTACTTTTTAAACCATCCCACTCCCAAGAAATAAGTGATAAGAACAGGCACAATCTTTCTTACCCCAGATTCTTCCTCCCACCTCAAATAAAAATCAGTGCTCTAGCTTCCAAAGATGCCCACTTAAAGGTAGGTAGGTCAGTCATATCTGCACGTACCTACGACTGCTAGATGGTCCAGTCCTGTTACCACTACTATTACTTGACACAACTGAAATTGCATTTGCGATGGCCTCGACTGCTGATAACCTCTCTGCAAATGTATTCCTCTCGGAGCGCTCTGCTTCTGTGGGACAGAAATACTTAAGTCACTAGGTCTCAGTAACAATGCTACAAAACAAACTGAATTCAAATTACAAGATAAAAATTGAAAGAACTGTGGATGCCATAAATCAGAAACAAAAACAAAAACAGAAGCTGCTGGAAAAGCTCCGCAGGTGTGGCAGCATCTGTGGAGAGAAATCAGTTAACATTTTGGGTCCAGTGACCTTTCCTCAGAGCTGATGGTAGCTACGAAAGTATCAGTTTATATTTAGAATCTGTATATCACTATCTTCTGTATATAAACCAACATTTTCCTAGCTACCGACAGTTCAATGAAAGGGTCACTCAATCCAAAATGTTAACTGATTTTCTCCACAGATGCTGCCAGACCTGCTGAGCTGTTCCAACAATTTTTGTTTCAAATTACAAGACAAGACTCAACACTGACCTGAAATAGAGTTCACTTTCAAATTCACCAAACTCAATTTCTTGATACAACCAGGTACAGCAATTAATTGAGAAGTGAACTTTTCATGAAATTTATTTGCTAGTAAAAAAACTGTTCAAAAGCATCTCCCCTTCATTTCAACTCTCCTCCATTCAAGGAGATAGAATGATCCAAAGTTCTTTCAACATACTCAGATAAACTTCCCAGGAGAAACACTACAGAATTCTGGACATGCTGTCATTTTTGAAATGCACATATAAATTGGCCCTTCACTGGGACTAATAGATTACCAGTGTAATGTTCTGGAGAAAGGAGCTTGAATCTTGTCATGACATATGCTGAAGTTAAAATTCAATATAAACTGGAATTAAAGTTAGTTTAATGGCAACCATGTGACCACTGATATAAAACCCATCAGATTCACTGATGTCCTTTAGGGAACAAAATCTGCCACTTTTACTTGGCCTGGCATAGACATGATGCTAGACCTATTGCAATGTGACTGACTCTTAACTGCCCCCTGAAATGATCGTAGCAAGCCATTCAGATAAAAGGCAATTGTGAATGAGCGGGAACTGTTGGTTATGATTAGCAAGAAATGTCACATAGAAAACTTTAAAGTGAATTGTGCTAATAATTACTGCATTTTTTTTTAAAAAAGATCAGGACTTGCTAATAAGGAAAGACTTAGGCCATCAGGTCAGAGAGAACTACACAGCAAGTGTCAATGTTTGTTTAATTACTTCAGTTTCTAAAAAAGGATCAAAATGTTATTCTGAAACAAAGTTTAAAAACTGAAGCCCAAAGACTGCATCATCCCCGATCCCTCGACAGCCTTCCCTAATTCGTTTGATATACATTTTTGTTTTAATTTTGAGTTGACAGCTTCAGAAAAAGGTCTGTTCTTGCTACATTGGATTTCACGACTGATTAACTGGATACATCCTAACCCTGAATCGATATAACTGCCAATATCAGTAACCTAAAATGCACGATAAACTAAGATGAGCAACATTTATAAACTTGTGTGCACTCCTTAAGTCTCCAGGAATATAGAACTCAGATAATACATGCAGGCAAGCTCCTATGCTAGGTAAAAGAATTACATTTCAACATTTTATTAGGGCACCTTACTAAAATTTAGATGTAAAGTGTCTTTACCCTTTTGTAAGTTATGAATACACATGGATAATAAAATTGTTAAGTGGACTTCAGCAAACAATGGCCCAAAAATTCCAAATGGGGAGTGTTTCAGGGCAGTAATTTAGACTAAAGTTGCTCATCAGCACAACAGTGAAATCCCACTGTCAGAAAGCCCCAGAAATTTTCTTGATGCAATTATTTGCTTCTGGAACCCTCCAAAAATGTCCTTTGGAGAGATTTCAGAGAGTTTTGGTGTATGCAAGCTGAACAATTACCTAGGAGAAAAACCGCTGCACTTAAACTTCTCCACAAATTGTCTCGACTCTACTGAATACACTCCTCCCCTCCCCCTGACAACCCCCATCCTTAACTCTACTTCACCCAGACTCCACACACCTCACCTCTCCCTTCTATCCCCAAACTTACCTTCTCTCAGCAGTTTTCAAAGTGGCCATAAGGCCTAAAAATAGGGTATGATTTCCACACCAACCTGTTCTAGGCCGCGTCAGAAGACGCTGCTCCTGGCTAGGAAATTTATGGGAGAATGCAGCTGATGTTAACTGCCTATTTGTGGGTCCAATCAGTTTCAGAAACAGGATATCATACCCTGATCAGAAGAATTGGGCTACCTCTAGGCAAAGAGATAGTAAGAACTGCCAATGCTGGAGTCAGAGATAACAGTGTGGAGCTGGAGGGGCACAGCAGGCCAGGCAGCAGAGCAGGAAAGTTGACGTTTCGGGTCAGAAAGGTCCTGACCCAAAACATCAACTTTCCTGCTCCTCTGATGCTGCCTGGCCTGCTGTGCACCTCCAGCTCCACACTGTGCCACCTGCAGGCAAAAACCAAATTTGCTATAATGGCATAACCAGAATGTGCTTATGAGTCAGACACCCAATTTACTATTCAACAAGTTGCGAACTCCAAAGAGCAACTGTATAGATTGTGGAAAACCAGGATATTTTGTGAAAATATAAACTAGTTCAACCATCTAACTTAAAAACTTGGTTGAATGGGAAGTGAGCCAAATCGCTTTCAGACAAAGTCAAGAACTCATTCCAGGCTAAAACAACCCAAGGTGCACTAATTGAGCAAGAAAGATGTGAACCGCTGTTCATCACAAAATATTTTGTACTATTTGACTTGCTTTGACTGGCATGCTCTTAGAGATCACAATCTGAGATACACTGTGCTGGCTGTTTTATTTTACGCATTTAGTTTCAGTTCGAACACAATATGAAGTTTAGTGCGAATAGTAGATTTAGATGAATTATAATTCATTGGATTTGCAAACAGTATGGTCAGAGTATTCAAGTCTTTGTGGACATTTGAAGTGTCAGTCATTGGTATTACTAGTTACTAAGATTCAGATTTAAGTTATTAGTTTGAATGTAGTCACTTATTAAAAAGAAATGCATGGTAAGGAACTTGTCAGACTTTGGATGCAAAAGTACTTAGCAAAAAAGTGTAAATGTTGATTTGAGGTAAACTTTCCCAATTCAAATTATTTCTAAAGACGCTAATTGTTACATCATATGAACACATTCTGATTAAACAAAAGGAAATTGTACTAACTCAAAAAGTCAATTAAGTTATAATTATAACTTCTGGGAATCAATTATGAACAAAGTGAAATTTGAGTCCCATATGATCCATCTAGCAGTAGTCATTCACTACAATTGAGATATTCCAAATCGTGAATTTGAAGTTACAAGAGTGTTATGCTAAGAATGTCATGCTAAGTTCACCTGGAAATTCATCTTGTTGCACTCTTGAATTTCTTAAAGCTTGTTTCCGTTCAGTGCATTAAATAACGTCCCAATGGCAGTCAAGAATTTTTGAAATAAAAATCAACCCTAGGATCAAACTCTCAAATTCTTGGGCAAAAAAGGTTTCTGAACACTGACGTATATTCCAGAATGTTTGACCAGGTGGTCTCATTGGAAGCTTGACGCCGAACTGCATGGCATATCACAAACTCTTAAACATGTACAAGACTCCTATGCTGAACAGTAAAGAGGAAGAGGAGATAAGAAGCCAAAACTAAAATTTTCTCATCCTGATAGCTGAAAGGCAAAAAGCTGCAATCCCTACAATCAACTGCAAAAGTATATTGGGTCAAATTTTGATTTTCTATTCATTAAGCAAAATATTTGGAAAGGTCTTTTTTGTAGAAATACAGGAAATGTTACAGAAACAAATACAGAAGTAGTTATATGGAGTTATCCCCATATCCTTCAGGGTGATGTTTACTACATCTGGGGATGTAAAATACTTGTCTTAATCTGCATTTTTTTGAAGAGGCTGGGCAGGCACTAAACAAACCAATTTCTGGAGCACTTACTATAACAGAGAGCAGAGGATATTTATGAAACTTTCAGTTTTATATTCACACAAAAAGCAGCTTTCCTCTAAAGAAAGCCATGGCTTTAGCTCACCTTCTTCCTCTTTTGTCTCTTTATTACTTGTAGGGAAACAAACAGACACGCAAGCATGTAAGACATTACGATTCCCATCACATCGATTGCTGAGGAATGTATTTAGTACTTGTGGTGTTTGTTCAAGCAAAACAGCCTGTTCAAGATTCATCAAGTACTGCCTGGAAGCTTCATAATCACATCGCAGTATGTGCTGCATTAATGCTTGTTTCTGTAGAATGGGATAAACAAAAAATATATTAATTACATCAGGCGACATTATGCACAAAATAGTACATGAACGTTCCTGGTATGAAAGTGTCATGCATACAGCTAAATTGCGTTGGCCTTTCAAACAATTGTACAAAGACCTCAGTTTGAAAAACTTTGCACTAGAAGAATAAAGAAGGGATTCCAAAGTGTTTGAGTGCATTGGAAATAATACTTTGTTTCCTTTACTCTTTCATGGAACGTTAGATCACTCATGAGTTGCCCATCCTAACTGCCCTAAGTAGCTTGTTGGGCCACTGCAGAGGGCAGTTGAGAGTCAAGCACGCTGATGTAAATCTGAAGACATGTGAAGACCAGACCAAACCAAATAAGGATGGTAGATTTCCTTCCCCAAATGAGTTAGAAAAATAGATAGGTTCATAGGCACCGTTACCAAGACTAGCTTTCAATTCCAGATTTTATTAACGGAATTTAAATGTCACCAATTGCCATGGTGGGATTTGAACCCATATTCTCAGAGCCTGGGTATCTGAATTAAACATGAACTTTCCAGATTGCAATATTATAATGCAGTTCCCAAAAAGAGCGGAAAAAAGGACAAACAGGAAGAAAAGGCTTAATATCGTACATTTTCAAACCTATGAACTTTGCAATAAAACATGCTAAGTAAACGCCTTGACATTTGATGAAAATATTCCATTAACTGGTTCAGTAATTCTGAGTAAAAGGTTTATTGAAATGGCTTTGACAGAATTAACAGTTCCACAAATAATCAATTTTATCAATTTTATTTAAGAGCTACTTCCCTGGATGTTGACTGCTTCAGCATGAGACAAGCACTCTTAAATGTCTAACAATTACATACAAACACACAAAATAGGAACAAATGTAGATCATTCAGCCTCTTGAGCTTGCTCCACCACTCAAGACCATGACTGGATCAAACTCCACAGTCCCATCTATCGCCAATCATACTGGATTCCACCTCGTTACAATAACGTATCCCCAACTCTTAACTATTACAGGGGTCCCTGATTTATGAACATTCAACTTATGAATACAATCCATAAACGTATATTAATATTAATTTTAAAGATCCAACGTATGAACATTTCCTCGTACTTGATGAAAAGCCATTTTATATTGTTCCAGGTTCCTACCTGTGTACAAATCAACTCACGAAATGGAATCAAGAACAGAGCTGTTGCAACCTGAAAACTGCCTGTATAAGGCTCTCCCTTATCCACAGATGTTATTCCTTCAAAGAACGCCAAATTGGTCAAACATTATTCCCCTTTGACAATAATATGCTGACACTTTGATTACCTCCATATGTAGATTTATCATCTCTTTATGACCAGTTCTAAAACCTCGTGTATGACAGACATCAAATTAACCGTCCTATAGTTTCCTGTATTAGGCAAATATAACCTGCTCTCTTATCAGTTCCAAAATGTGCTGCTCTAAGAAACTATTCCAACAGCATTCTACAAACTCAATTACCAATTTAAATTTTATGCACCCAATTGGCATGCAGCTCCAGTAACTACCCAGAGGTTGTAACCTTTGGAGTTTTTCTTAGTTGAGGGCCCAGCTCCTCATATTCTGTGCAGAAAGTTTTTTTAGTTCTAACCTATGTCACTGGTGCTTTATATGGATCATGATGACTAGATTCTCTCCCTGCCACTGCAAGTTCCTTTCCAGGCCTGAGCAGAATGTCCCAATCCCTTGCACTGGCAGGCAACATTGCTGCCTGGACTCTTGCTCTTTATAGCGGAAAATGACGTCAATCTCCTTCACTAAATTATCACCAACTGCTGGTACATTCGTTGTTGCTCTCCCCACTTGAATGGATTCCTTTATGACGCCGCCATGATCAATTTTTATATCCATCGTGCAGTTCTCTCTCATCCAAGCAAGGCGAGAACACCTCATACCAACTGGAAATTGCCAGACTGAATCTTGCCCACAGGGCCCCCTTAACTGCCTTGCTTAGCCACACCTCCTGACCTTGACCAATTCAGGAAACCCTATATTTTGTGGTGCAGCTGACTCCTGCTACAGAGAATCCAGGTAACCTCCTTCAATCCTGATGCATTGCAGTGTGTATTTGAGCTGGAAGCTAAACCTTTGCTCATCACAGACTTGTTATCCCTGAATCACAAGAGTATCCAAGCGCTCCTACGTTGCAGCCATGACACATCGCCTGCACTGCCATCATCAATAAGTTTTAATCATACATTAATCACTTGTCTTTCATCTATTTTCTTAACTTTACCATCATTATGCGTACAAAGTTACAAGTTGGGAATGGACAAGACCTGAATCCCTTCCCTCTACAGGAGAGCATACAAACTCTAATCTATCAAGATGAATGTTCTAAGTGCCAATCATTAGTGTTAGTTTTAAAATTCAATAATGACGCTTTATAACTTGAGTTTTATGCAGCATTATATTTAAGAATTTTGATTTGCTGGAATGATCAAGGTAAATACTATTTCAAAACAAAACATTCCCCAAAAGGCCTCAGATGAATTTTAAGAAAGGACGGAGGTTTCTAAACTGGAAGAAATTTTCTGTAATTATATTTATTAGAAATACTCCAGCACTCTGCAAACTAGCCTCCTACCTCCAATTCCAGCAAAACTGTGTTACATGCATCTTAACTATGACCAAATCACACTCATTTATCCTGCTATGCATTGATGATGTGGACTCCCATCCAGCAACAGCCTTATTTTAAAAATTCTCATGCTAGCTTTCAAATCCCTTTATGACCTCATTTCCTACCAGCACTATAATTTGCTGGTTCCAGTTCTGAACTCTCATTTTTTTTTTTCAAAAATAACAAACGACCATACCTTTAGGTGGCATGTCTAGGCCTGCAACCTTCCTCTGTGCATTGCTTTAACATTTAAATTAATCTTTTAAAAAAAAATCTTACTTTTTCAAACACTCGGCTATTTGTCAAACTAATTCTGAGGTTCAGCATCAAATTTTACATAAAATGTTCAGCATACAGTCACCACTTGGGGCAGATGGCTGATACTATACCTACAGCCCCAAGTTTCGGTCTCCACAAATGAAAATATTTTCTCCACATCTACCCGATCAAGACCCTACATAAATTTAAAGAACTCAATGTTCTAGTTGTCTCTTTTCCAGAGAAAAGGGTTTCATTCTGTACAGCCTTTCTTAAAGAGTAAATTCTCTCAGTTCTGGTATCAAATGTTATGAATCCTCTTTGCACATTCCCATTGCACTATGGTGATCAAAACTGTACATAATGCTCCAAGCCTGGACCCTCAAAAGGTTATATACAAGTATACATTAATTCTATCCCATTACAGATTATACCAGCGTTCCCACCCACTATACCACAGCCCCCATTCCACTCAAATGCTTGGATTTGTCATGCTCATCTTTAAAGCTGCAATTCCAAAGTAGGGTCATCACATGCTACTGGCACACTGAAGTCTCTAACCGCAAAATGAAGACAAAACTTAAATCAATTCAAATTAAATTGGAGTTTACATTTTGAATGCCAATGCTGTTTTAAATGTTCATCTCAATGCACATTGATAATTCCCATTGAAAATGAAGTATTTTGCAAGAGTAACTTCCACAAAACAATACCTAAAAATAATTTAATGACAGTAAGTTCATAGCTTATTGGTTGTGCTTGTATGTAGAGGCTGACTGTTAGTAACTGTTGCTGTTGTTCACCACTTATCAAAATCTTGACGAGGCTGTTGGGATAGTATAGGGAAATTGTGCAAGCTACATCAGGTGGGAGTGTGCAAGTTCAGATTCAATTGTGTCCATGTTAGACCTGTTTCTGGCAGCTCTCACTTTAATGTAGATGGACCCAAAATTGCGCAAATAGGTAGCACTAGCATCAGGCACATACACCACATGAAATTGCAAGATTGGAGCTGCTGAGGAGAATTATCAAGCAGCTGCAATGCTTGGATCGCTGGGACCATGTGACCAGTGCTACAAAGGTAGCTAGATACGGAAATGCATCACTGGGATGCTAGGCTATTTTTAAATAAATGCCCGTTTCATCTTCATTAATAAAGTGTGGAGGCTGGGATGCTTTTCTTCTAGAGAAGAAATGGAGATTTGAGTGAGCTCTTGGGGTATAGAGAAGGGGTTGGATTCATTCCATATGAATAGACAACTTGATTAGCAAAATCATGTTTCAGTATATAATATTTCACTCTTTAACAGAATTGTTTAAAGTGACCAAATCACATTTTTGTGGCCTAGTGTAGCTAAGGTTCACTTCAACATCCATTCAACCAACTATTACACAAGGTATAATGCATTCAACTAAAATCATTTGGTGTTTTACTGATTAATAAATCGGTATATTAATAAAAACATAGCAATGAATCACAAAACATGTATAATACAAATGTAGATATTTTAAACTTTATTACGTTCATTACGCTGACCAACATACCTCTACAGTCATTACAATGACGGCTGCTTTTTTCTTAATGGATGAATTTGCAGGAAGATTTGTCAAAGAATGGATCCCCATTCCAAGACTAGTAATTGGTGGGAGATCTAACCAGTCGGGATCACGGATTCCACCCATACAATCTTTAGCCATGGGGTATATTGTGCCATTTCCATCCCGAAGGATAATTGGAGATTCCTGAAGATCCAAAAATTTGCAGTCAGAAAAAGATTATGTTCGAATATGCTATACTTATGATCTACACAAATTTCACATTCCAGCTGATTCAGATAGAGTCCACATTACAAACAAACTCCAGATCTAATATGCACACGGATTAGAAATTTGAAGGAAAATCTTATGTCATATTAGGTAAGATAGCCTGACCTACTTACATGAAATCTATCTACATGAAATCAAGCAGAATCTTCATTACAAATTTTAGCTGAACGAGAGAGTATGGCAACAGTTCGGGCAATTAAATATTTTCATTAAAGCAAAGCACGGTGTTAAATATTTTAAATTGCCATTTAAATATACAAGTACCAGTCAAAAATTAAAAACCTCAACACAAAGTCACCCATATCTCTTTATTCACATTTTTGGTCCCACTTTTTTGAATATTTGTATATCAGTAATGTTGATAATCTACATTTGCCATTCAATGTTGCCACATTAATAGTCTTCAAACACCAGATGATTTTAAGTAGGCTTGAAATGTAAACCAAAATACTAAAATTACACATTTCATCCCTCAATTCAAACCAATATGGAGGTGCAAGTTAAAGTAAAAGAAAGTGAATTAAAAGAGATATTTAATTATCATAAAATATTAGTTAGCCTACTGCAGATTGTCAATAGGTGGTATACATCTGGTCAGTTTTTGACTTTCAGCCTCTACACATGAATAAGAGGAGATATGTAGGTCAGTGAGCATAGCATTCTTGGCAGCAAACGTTTGGACGGAAATGTTTGCAAAGGCTGAGGATGAGAGGCAGACCACGACAGCACCGAAAGCTGGTAAAAAGTGGAGAAAGGGGTGGACATGGGAGGAACGTGGAAGGAAACAACCTTTATGATGGAGAGCATAGAGTCAGAAACTTAATCTGGGTCAACTGGAACCCAGCGGCTGAGGACAATCTGGTTCAGTCTTTCAGTGGCCAAGGACTGAAATGGAATTGATGACAAGGGAACAAAGTGGTAGGGTCAAAGGAAAAACACAGAGTTCTCCCAGTGTTTAAATTAAGGAAAATGCACCTTTCCCAAAACTCAACTTTCGATCAATCACCTAACAGAGGTGTTAAGAGAAGCCTGATGATGTAGAACTGGGTGTTGTCATTTAGAATGGTTTCAAAAGGCAGCTTATGGCAGAATCATCTAACCACCTTCACCCTTTCAATAAGGGCATGTCAACTTGAATAAAGTAATACAAGCTCTGTAGGTACTATCTGGGCCAGTTGCACAGCACATCTGAACTGATCATCTTTAAAATCAAAACAACTTGCTGGCAGTTTCAAAGTGTTGTCAGAGAAATTCACATAATTGGTTGGAGGGTTTCTATTGTACAAGTAGATTGTTTAAGAATGGCTTCTCCATCAGGGATGGCAACTTAGGTGATTCATTCAATCAAAATGTAAGTTCATTTAGCAAAGATTTGCTCTCATTGCAACATCTTAAGTTAAAATTTTGGCTTTCTATTGTTCTGTGCACATTAACCATATAGACTTTACAGTTATTGTGTCAATGGATCTATAGGTGACACAAACGAGTGAACACAAGATTGTAAATTTTCAGATTTTAAAACCTGTTCCATTGTCCCGCTGAATTAGTGTAGCTCTACCAAAACTAACTGGTAAACTATTGCGGCAATTGGTCAATTCCCAAAACCCCAATCCACTACCACCACTTCCTGTCCCCGAGGAATACGATGGAATATTCCCCACTTGCCGGGATGAGTACAGCTTTAATGCGTGAACACCTAGGACAAAACAATGCTCGACTGGCACTCCATCCACAACCTTATGATTCACACTCTCCACCGGGAACACATTATAGCTGCAGCATGTCCATTTAGAAGATGTATCGCAGAAAAATCACCAAAACTTCATCAACAGCACCTCCTAAAACTGTACTGCAATCTCTAGTTACCTTGAGTTACTCTTATCACAACAAACTCAAGGCTCTACGTACCCTCCACACGCAGATCATTCAAAGTTCTGCTGTGAGTGTTCCATTTTGCACCAAGTCCCATTTACCGATCATCTTGTTTGTTATGCACATTGGCTCCTAATTAAGCAACATCTTGAAATTTCTCACTCCCACTTTCAAAGCACTCCAAAGTCTTACCCATTCATTGCTCTAATCTTTGTCAATCCCACATTTGAGAGGTGTACTCATTTATTTCTGGTTTCAGTATCACTGATAAGTGCTCCATCATTGGTGGCATTGCCTTTAGCTGCCTAATCCTGAAGCTCTAGAATTTTCTTCCTACATCTGTCAGACTTTCGAACAGCATGGAAAAAGGCCCTTCAGCACATCATGCCTGTACTAGTCAAAATTCTATTGTATTCTAATCCTTTTTTAGAATACTTGACCTGTAGCCTTACATACAATGGTGTTTCATGTACTCATCTAAGTAGTTCTTAATGTCTCAACTCCTTCCTTCTACCATCCTTTTGGGTAAAAAGGTTCCAGATCACACCTTCCCCACATGAAAAGGTTTTCCCTCAAATACCCTCTAAATCTCTGATTTATACCTTAAAATGTGGCCCCAATTATTGATTCTATTAAGTGTAAAAGTCAATCAGAACTTTGTACACTTCAACCAGGTGCAGCCTCAGCATTCTCTGCTCTAAGGAAAATAACCACAAATCTCTCTAGTGTCTTCATAGCTGAATCCCTCTAGCCCAAGCAATATCCTGGTGAATCTCTTCTGCACCTCCCCTAATGGAATCACATTCTTCCTATAGTATGGTGACCAGAACAGCACATAATATTCCAAGTGAAACTAAACAAGTGTTAGACACAGCTCCATCATAACCATGATTTCTGAAGAAGGGTCTTGACCCGAAACGTCAGCTTTCCTGCTCCTCTGATGCTGCTTGGCCTGCTGTGTTCATCCAGCTCAACACCTTGTTATCTCAGATTCTCCAGCATCGGCAGTTCCTATCATCTCTCTCCATCATAACCTCCTTGTTCTTCTACTTAATGACAACTGATAAAGCCAAGTATCATTTATGCCTTCGTAACTATGCTAATTCCTTCTCCTGCTGCAGTCAAGGATCTAAGGACATGCACACCAACTTTCCTCTGATCTTCTTACTACCTAGGGTCCTACCATTCAACGTGTACTGCATTACCTTGTTAATGCTCCCAAAATGCATCACCTCTCACTTGTCAGGATTAAATTCCATTTGCCAACATTCAACCCATCTGACCAGCTCATCAATAATGTTCTAAGGCTTTCACCCTTACTATTTACCACACCAATTTTCATGTCATCTGCAAACTTACACACCATACCTCCTACATTTGTGCCTAGATCATTAACATACATTACAAACAGCAAGTGGCCCAGCACCAAATCCTGTGGTATGGCTGCCAGTCACAAAAACACTCTTGACTGTTATACTCTGCCTCTTGCTACAAACAGAATTTTGGATTCAATTTGCAAACTGCCCTAGACCTCTTAGTTATTTAACCAGTTTCCATGCAAGACCTCACATATGGCTTGTTAGACCAGTAACAACTACCAGGCTAACTATGATCATGAGATTAGAACGTATGAAGAGATAGAAATTTAAAACAGTACATACCTGCCCAGCTGTATAAATTGCCACATCGCGCTCATTCTGGCCAAGAAAAGCAACACTGTTTGTAGGAAAGTTGTGTTCCTGCTCAGCCTTTCCTGTAGCTAGGTCGAAGATACAGTAGCGGACCCAGCTACCTGTCTTCAGCACAGTATGAACACCTGATAGTGTAGTTATAATAGACATTATTAGGTAATCATCTATTAAGCAAACTAAAAATGGGTCTAAATTACAGGTTTGATCTAAAGTTTTTCTTGTATTTTGATTGTAAACTTCTATTAAACCACCAAGAAACAAATTTTCAAACAATTGGTCAAGTTATTGTACAAGCTTGCACATAATGTATATGCCTACTTCAGCAAGGTATTGGAAGGCATTTCAAACCTGTGGCAGAAACCACTCTTTTTGGAGGAGGAGAAAGAAGAAATCTGTTCAACTATTCCTGCTGGGAAACATGTAAACCATGCTGGAAAAGAGACAAGACTAGGTAATGCCATTTCTGACTGAATTGTCAAAATTCAGTTTAAGAGCTCTGCAGGCCTGACACCAGAGCTCTTCTCATGTCTGCCAAGTAGTCAAATGTCACATTCCAATGTGCACACTGCATGCCACAGAGATGTACAGCAAAGAAACAGACCCTTCGGTCCAACTCATCCATGCTGACCAGATATCCTAAATTTATCTAGTCCTATTTGCCAGCATTTGGCCTATATCCCTCTAAACCCTTCCTGTTCATATACCCATCCAGATGCCTTTTAAATGTTGTAATCGTGCCAGCTTCCACCACTTCCTCTGGTGGCTCATTCCACACACGCACCACTCTCTGCCCGAAAAAGTTGCCCCTTGGGTCCTTCTTATATCTTTCCCCCCTCACTTTAAACCTATGCCCTCTAGTTTTGGATTCCCCCACCCTGGGGAAAAAGACTTTGACTATTTACCCTATTGATGCCCTCATGATTTTATAATTTTCTACAAGGTCACCCCTCAGCCTCGACACTCCAGGGAAAATAGTCCCAGGCTATTCAGCCTCTCACTACAGCTCAAACCCTCCAACCCTGGCAACATTCTTGTAAATCTTTTCTGAACGCTTTCAAGTTTCACAACATCCTTCCTATAGCAGGAAGGCCAGAATTGTACGCAGTATTCCAAAAGTGGCCTTACCAAGGTCCTGTACAGCATCAACATGACCTCCCAACCCCTATACTTAATGCACTGACCACTAAAAGGAAAGCATACCAAACGCCCTCTTCACTATCCTGTCTACCTGTGACTCCACTTTCAAGGAACTGAACCTGCAATTCAAGTTCTTTGTGCAGCAACACTTCCCAGAACCTTACCATTAAGTGTATGCAAGTCCTGCTCTGATTTGCCTTTCCAAAATGCAGCACACCTATCTAAATTAAATTCTAACTGCCACTGCTCAGCCCGTTGGGCCACCTGATAGAGATCCCGTTGTACCGAGGTAACCTTCTTTGCTGTGCAACATGCTCTAATTTTGGTGTCATCTTCAAACTTATTAACCATACCAACCATGTTGTTAGCTTCTTTAGGGGACAAATCTGTCAAGAAAACTCCAATTCTCACTCACGAAGACTTTCCCATAGGTTCGACTATGCGAAAATATTTGCTAATGCTTATCCTAGTATCCCAAACTTTACTCAAATCCCTGCAGATCAGAGACTTAAATGCTAATCTGCCTAGTCTATATAGTTCAGTACCACTATGTATGCTTTCTCTCTAAGCCATCCTTGCACAAGAGGAGATTTGATAGAGGAGTTCAAAATCACGTGCGTTGAACAGATAATGAGGGACGTTACACTGACAGAAGCACCAAGAACCAGAGGTCATGGAATTATGATGCATGGTATAAGAACCAAAAAGAGAACATGAAGTATTTTTAAATGTATGGTTAGGATCTGGAATGCACTGCAAGATAGCATGGTGAAGGCCTTCGAAATAAACTTAAATAATTTTCTAAAAAGAAGAAATTAGCAGTGAAATGCAGAATAGGAAAGGGATGGGCAAACAGAGGGAAAAGAGAGACTAGCTAACTTTGTTTTGCAGACAGCTGATACAGACATGGCCTCTTTCTATATATTGTAACCATCTTATGATAGGTTAAGCATTATGCAATTCAAAACACATCTTCCAATGAATTGTGAAAAGTTTAAATGTCATTAATTGTCAAGTGTCTAACTCTTTTTGCAGCAATTATATCAACATTCTTTTGGACCTTGCATGCTTAATGCAGAACTAGTCCCACTTATATCAGGAGGCAATATTAAATCGGGAGACTTTAGAAATCACACAAACAGCATTAGCAAATGAATATGGGTTGAAGTTACTGGATTTGTAGATTGCAACATACCAACAATATACTTGAACATTTGCTTCACGTGATTATAGACAACAGTGAAATTGTTCACTTCTGCAGAAAAACCATAGACAATCAATTTACAGAGAACAAAGGTGTACTTACCCTTAGAATCCACATTCACTGCAAGGATTTCTGCCTTGTCTGGAATAGTAAGCTTTTTAGGGGTGCGCTGGAAACAGTCTGGAATTTTTGGTGTCCCGCCTGTTTTCACAACCTAAGTTAGAGAGAAAGATGATATGATTAAATCAACATGTTGAAAGAAGTTCCACTGAAGTTCAAGTTCCAATAACCTCACGACAACAATATAATTTCACGCACATACTTTACAACCCCCCCCTTTTCCCCCCTTCACAAAATATCCCACAACTCTGCATGATATATCCATCATTATAAATGGAAAAAAGAATAAGCAGACAGTGTTGGCCACCCACAACACACCCTGAAGGTGCCCAGACAAAATGTGAGCAATACCAGCATGAAGCAAGTGAGCGCTGGGGTGGGAGAAGAGGTAAGCCAAAGATGCAATAGCAGTGAGATTCAAGGAAGGAGAAATGAAGTCACAGAATAAAAGATAGTGGAAAGAAAAACAACATATGGGAGTCAAGAGGGATGAACAGTTTAATAGGCACTTCAAAGAAGAATAGAAGACATTTGCCAGATTAAGCAGTTAAGCAGACAAGAAATTTAATGAAAAGTAACAACAATAATGATACAATGGAGGGGGAAGAATGCAGTAAATCCCTCGATGTGGACTGCATTTGGTTCTACTCCTCGTCTGCATTGCCATAGAAAATTAGCTAGTTCAAAATTATACTTTAAAATGACATTAAAACTTACCCAAAGATAATGTAAGATGGCTAAGATTGAGTACAAATCCAACCAGAGGCCTGACTGTGCAATTACAGTGCAAACTTACAGCATCACAATGCAACAAAACAAAAAAAAATTCAACTGAAAGGAATAGCGTTCCAAATGAATGTTATGTGGCACATATTTAACTTTTAAGTAGAGGAAAGTTTTATAAATGGAAGATACAAAAAGCTAAATGATAGCAAGTTATTAAATACACAGGCTACCACAAAGCCATTAAAAAAGCTCATTATGCAGCAGCAGAGGCTATCATGAGGTTGCCTTTCAGATGACAAAAAGAAAGAAAGATTAACTCAAGGGAATAATTAAAAAGTTGCACAAGAGATGCGTGAAGAATTATTAGCAGAGGTTGCTTTTCATAGAGTCAAAATCGTCAAAAACTTGAGATAGGCAAATCACTGGGATCTAGATATTCACACTTCAAGACCTTAGAGAAACTAGAAAGGAGTAGCAGATGCATAATCTGTTTTGCAAAAATCTATAGAAAAGAAACCTTGGTCAGAGTACTGAAAGGTAGGGATATAGCTTTTTTTCAGCAGTGAAATGAGACTACATTGACAGGAAGTTACATATTTCAGTTATTGATAAACACATGGCACACAAAGCACATGGCAAAACAATTGTTATTAGGATTGTTCAATATGGACTTCTAAAATACAGATCATGCTTGACCACCTGTGAAATTCTTGGAAGAAAAACAGCACGAATAGTTAGAGATGCAGCAGAAACACAAGGTTGTGGCTAGATGAACAAACATAGTCAGTGGACAGGAAGCAAAGAGTAGTGCAAAGAAAGTTTCCTGGACTGAAAAGATCTGGTTCATAATTCTGGTGTGTGATTTTATGTGACAAGATACAGCTGTTTTTATTAATATCAAAAAATGACCTAAACTTCATAAAAAGGAATGTGGATTTTGCTTGTGGTACGAATTATCCTAAGTGGTGATGGGGGATAGTGAAAGCTTGTAGATGAGCTTAAATAAGTTAACATGGTTAGATGGCAGGTACAGTTCCATATATTGTTGATGACAGACAGAAAACAAAAATGCGCACTGAACGATAATATTTTAAGCAGACTAAAAGGATCAACTTTGATCTCAGATATACAGGTCAACAATGACAATGAACAGTGTCATATAAAGGCTAATGCAATTCGCAGCTTTACAACCAGAACATAAAAGCAAAACCTGAGTAAGGCCATAACTATAGAATGATGTACAAATTGCAACATATGATTTTTAAAATGTCATAAAAACAATGCGGAAAAAACTGCATTGCAAGTTCACTAATACATTTCTTGAGATCAGAGATTATGATAACGGAACAACTTATTTTAAAGATGTTTTCCACCACAGATCCAAATGGTAACGAGAAAGGGATAATTTAAACAAAAATCAATTGTTAGACTGATAAATGTGGCAGTAACATGGCAGCTCTGATTTCAAAAACCAAACAAAAAATCCATCTATGATCAGGAAAAAGTATTCAGAAAGGGTGATTAGAATTTGCATTTCTCTGACAGTCCACTTATTCTTGTCAAAGGAAATTAGATGGATGTTTGAATGTAAGGTGTACAATTTAGAAGAGTTGCCTAGATTGGTCTAAAAAAGTATTCCAGAGTTAATGATCAAATGGACTGTTTCTCTACTGGCATATTTAATGTGTCATATTGGGGCCTGTTTTGATCAATTAGTGTAAATGAATGTTAAACTTCTGAGACTGGTGAAAATTTCACAAGAAAAGCAAATGTGCTAATACAACTCAAACTGCATGCCACCAGCCAATTTATAATTATTGACAGCTCCAGGTGCCAACGTGGACAAATGCAGCAACCACAATGGTGGGATCAGATAATATTGTACAAGTGAGATTTTAAAACCATGCTGACGTCAAACAGAGGAATAAAAATTTGAGCGCCTACAAAGTGCCAAAAAAAGGTAGCTCAATGCATTTATAGCCTTTGCCAAGGGTGAGTAAGAGATGGGAACAAGTCTGCGAGCAAATGACGCATCAGTCTAGTGCCTGGGCACATTTCATGGTTGCCAGAGTGAAGATTGTGTTGCAGAAGGTGGCTGCAAGAGGCATTATCCTGTCATTCTGCAATCCGATCCTCAAGTTAAGGGCATAGTATGCCTAGATGAAATTGCAACAACAAACTAATGCTATTACTTGTTGTGCCAACTCTTGGCTGCACAGTCACTGAAGATAACCCAGCAGATAGTGCAGTTTTAAATCTGGCAAACAAATTTCCTTCTAGCTCTGCCATGTAGGTGTATTTAATGCCTGAAAATATGCTTGGCAGATATTCTAATCATCTTAGAATGCCTCCTTCCAAGTACCTTTAAATACATGACAATGCGATTGGGCTGCTTCTAAAATCTATTTTACATTACAGGTAGTCAAAACATTA